GCCAAAAGCGAAAACAACCCGATGTCTATCAGCTGATGAATGGATAAACAAAACATGGTGTCTCCATACAATGGTGTATTATTCAGCCATGAAAAGGAATGAAGAACTGATAGATACTACAACATGGCTGAGCCTTGGAAACAGTATGCTAAGTGAAAGAAAACATTTCCAAAGCACCACGTATTACATGAGGCCATTGAAATGAAATATCTAAAATGGAAAATAGAGACAGAAAGCAGATTAGTGGTGGCTTAGGGTTGGAGTAGGTGAGATGAGGAGGGGAAGCAGGGAGTAAGTGCCAATACCTATTGCGATGACGGGGTTTCTTTCGGAGGTGATGAAAATGTTTTAGTATTAGATAGTGGTGACTGACTTTTGTAATCTATTTTTTAACTTCTTGAATTATACTAAAACCCACCAAAGTGTACAGTCTAAAAGGGTGAACTTTATGGTATGTAAACTATATCTCAACAAAGCTGTCATTTTGAGAATCCTGACTCTGGGATGAGGAGCCTACGTGTTGGCAGTGCTAAAAGCTTCCCAGTTGCTTCTAACCTGCAGTCGAGGGGTTAAGATATTGTGTTAGTTCAATGATTCACCCAGCAGGGTCCCTGGACCGGCATCAGCACTCCCAGGAACTTGTTGGAAATGCAGATTCTTGGGCTCTTCCCCAGATCTACTGAATCAGAGACACAAACATATGTTTTAAAAAGCCTTCCAGGTGATTGTTGCTCACTCAGGTTTGAGAGCCAGTACAACTAGAGCATTATTTTTTAAGTGCTGAAATCAGACAGACTTGGATTTGCAGCCTGGTTCCTGCAGCTTCTATCATGGGACCATGGTTAAGTGAGTGAGCCCCCGTGTGCTTTATTTTCCTTGTGTGAAAATGTGGATTCCTTCCTCCTAGTACAGAGCCGTGAGGATTAAAAGAATTACATATTAAAGGTGCTTTGGATGGGGTATTGCCCGTATTAAAGGCTCAGTAGTAATTGTTGTTATTGTTATGGTTGCTCCAGGAGCTCTAAACCATGACTTCAATGGGAAATTGTGTTGTTAATTCTATAGGTGGCCTCTTGAAGTACCACCCAGTCTCCCCTCAGTGGCTATCCTGACCTTTATCCAAGCCCCTGGAATAGCAGGTTTTGGAGGAGAAATTGCAGGCTGGGGAGAGGGGAGGCGTGCTCCTGTGGAGATGATCTGGATTTGTTTGTGAGGTCAGATGTTTGAGCATAGTCATACTTCTTGTGTTGGGACTTTGATGGGAGCTGGAGGTTGAAGTGAGAGAGGGCAGGTGGAAAGGAAGAGAAGGCTGTAGCTGAGCGAATTGATGTTCCAGTGAGGCTGTGAATTCATTGCTTTCTGTGGGAAGAATACTCTTCCCTGGGCTTGCTGTTGATGGGAGAGTCTGGTAAACAGAGTGCTCAGAACATTTTGGCTAGAGTTAGAGCTCTTTTATTTGCTTTCAGAGTGTTTAACATGGTTTTCTGGAACCTACATAATTTAGAGGATTGGCTTTGGTAGCTTCATAGGGAGAAGGCAAGGAAGAGGTTTAAGACTGATGTTAGGGAGGGAGGAAGATGGGAAGGAAGGCGGGGAGGGAAACTATTATATAATGATCAGCTATGACACTAGGTGCTTTCAAATCATTTACTCTTGTGTAACCCTCCTGAGAGTACTATGAAATATTGTAACACCCTCCTCCTTTAACAGTACGCAGAGAAACCGAGGCTCAGCAAAGCCATGCTACCTGACCAGGGTCACAGAACCAGACGTGAATAGGAATCTGGACCACTGGTCTTTCAGGTGAAATTTCACCTCTTGGGTCATCCAAGGAGAATTTGGGGGCACAGAGGTTCTCAAATGCAAGTGAACTTCTTGGAATCTCCTTAGGGTGCTTGATTAAAGTCAGACCTACTGAAGCAGAATCTCTCATGATCAAGCCTGAGAGCCTGTGTTTTCAATACCTATTCCAGGTGTGCTGATGCCCAGTCAGGTTTGGGAGCTGGTACTCTGGAATTCATGGACTTTAACCCGGCCACCATTCTGTATCCCCTGTTCACTCTCCTCCCACATACAGCCTTGTTTCCCAATTCACAGTGTATGTATGTCATTTGACACTCTCAGAATAAACTCCCTGTTAAAATTCCATTGAATATCTTAACAAAAACACTCTGGGAGTTCACCTGGACATTTGGGAGGGGAGAGGATTTGTGGGAATGCCCTCAGGAAAGTGTCTGAGAAAATTAGATCACCTGCAGACACTACTCCAAGGGAACTCACTGCCAGAAAGAAGCAGTCTTTTCTGTCTGCTCATCCTGAGCAGATGGCTACCAGCCTTCTTTGTGAATTGTATCTTTTGACCCGCTTCTCTTGAGTCACTTTGAGGGCTTTTGGGAAGCAGTGCTGAGACTGAGACTTCCCAATACAAGGCCAGTCTGGGTTTGAGCGGATGATAGTGGCTTCCTCTTGGGGTCTGAAAGGGCCAGAGCTGAGGCCAAACTAGTGACAAAGAGCCACCCCCTCTGCCCTGCAGGCCCTGAATGGCCAGGAGGTTGATTAATGACTGAGCTGGCTTCATGTGTCACTTGGCACAGTGTTGTAGAATGGGAACAGTGTTCAGTTTGAATTTCAAAAACCCAATTAAGGAATTCAACCTTTTTTTTTTTTTTTTTTTTAGCTGACCACTTTGTCTCAAGGATCTTTAGTAACTTGGAATTAATAATAATAATAATAGAAGCTTCTTTAAAGCTTTCTCTTCTCCCTACCTCTGAGGACTTGGGAGCAACCCTGCCAAGAAGATGGGGAGAGGGCAGAGGTGATTATCCTTTTCTCAGGCTTCAGTAGATAGTGTCAGGCCCACAGCTCTGTAGAGCTGGTGAGGAGTCTTAGTGGGTACAGATGGGCCAAGAGTGAGTATTTCCTCATAGGAGGAGGAGGGCACAACTGGGACCACCTCAGTGCGGCTTGGTGGGGGTTTCTAGCCTCTTGAGTTGGTGCGGTCTGGAAGGAAGCTCTGGCCAGTGCACTGCAGGGACCCCTCAAGGTGTGGCTCTCATGTGCCCCTGTGGGTCCTCAGGGGTCTCGCACTGTCTTCTCTGGGTCCATCCCTGACAGGATCCTCCTGCCAAGGCCTGTGCTCTCCCTGTCCGTCTTACTCTCCCTGCTTATTATTTGTGGCCAGCGCCCTTCTGTATCATCTTGGGCTGTTTACACAGGTGTGTGGTAAGGGGCTTCTTTGCAAAAGATTGTTACTATGGCTTTCCATTGGTCCTCTGATAAAGATCAAGATCCTTACCAGGGACCATTTAAGGTCCAATCCTGGGAAATCGGATTCTGGCTCTCTGTCCAAGTTTGCCTAATTCTACTTTGTACATCTGTACATTAACTTTTCTTTATTAGGAAAAGAAAAAAAATGTGTGTATGTGTGTGCATGTGTATGTATAATAACATGGGGAAATGTACATTGAGTCTTTTTAAAATGTATTTTATTTCATTTATTTTTTAAAATTTCAATACCTTTTGGGGTACAAGTAGTTGATGATTACACGGATGAATTATATTGTGGTGAATTCTGAGATTTTGGTGCACCTGTCAGTTAGCGTACATTGCACCTAATGTGTAGCTTTTATCCCTGGCCCCTACTACCCTCCCCTTTCTGAGTCTGTAAAGTCCATCATATCACTCTGTATGCTTTTATGTACTCATAGCTTAGCTCCCACTTAGAATGAGAACATAGAATTTTTGGTTTTCCATTCCTGAGTTGCTTCACTTAGAATAATTGTCTTTTTAGTTCCCCCGATGTTTAGGCTGATGGCTTTTGTGCCTGCTGGCTCTCTGCTGGGCATATCCACCACAGCTTACCATCATGCCCTGGTTAACACCTTCCAGCCCTGGATCTCAGCTCAGCTGTCCCTTCCTCAGGGTACCTTTTCTGGCCCCCAGGCTAGATCAGCCATGTATCTTTCTCATACTTACGTTGGTGTATGGAGTAGGGTTGGCACTCAGTTAAAAATTGCTGACTGAATAAAGGACGCTTCAGGAGACTCATGGGTGGGGATCACTACACTGAAACTTCCCTGGCTCTGTGCATGTCTTTGCTCAGGATGCTATAGATCATATTGATTTTGTCTGTGCGTTTAAGATTTTGTGACTATCAATATTTTAAATGATGCCGAACTCTCTGAGACCTGTTCTAACTTGTTGGATTTAATTGTACAAGGCTTAAAGTGACTGCTGTAGAGCCATCCTCAGCTGTCACAGTAATTTAGTGCCCTGTGTGCATCATCCTGGCAGCCCAGGCTCTAGATTGCTTTTCAGAGTGTTGTTGTTTTGTTCTTATTTATGAGTAAGGCTCAGAGGTGCTGAATCAGTTCTTGGCTGGACAGCTTCTGCCTCGTGTATCTTAGTCATCTACCACTGTGGGTTCTTTTAAAGGGCACTGGGTCATGGTGACACAGAAGCCAGTGACCATTCCCATGGTGATGCAGGACCCTCATTCCCTCACTTGGGCAATGCGCAGTGAGTTCTTCATGGCATAGTGGCCTCTGTTGCCAGGAAGCTGTTTTCTGCTGCACTGTGGATACAGGATAAGGCAGCAAAGTGCCCTAATACCCATGAACTTACCGATACCACGTCAGAAAATTCCCTCTTCTCCATATCTTCAGATAGAAATTAGGGGAAAATTCTTTCTGATCATCACTGCCCAGTCTTTTTTGCAGGTTGTGACCCACTAATGAATAATGAAACTCAATTTGTGGGTCATGAATTTAAAAAGAATGAAAGGAAATAGGATAGAAAATATTAGAATGCAATACACATAGTGAAAGTAACTATTGTTTTGTGAAGCTTTTCTTTTAGTTTGTGTGTGCAAATCAGGGCTGAGTCATGAGGTAAAATACATTTCTTTCTCGCAGTCAAAATACCCCATCACCACAACTCTATAGCATGTTGTAAGTGGAATTCCCAGTGTCCTTACACCTGTGCTTTGCTTTTTCTTAAAGGTATGCAAAATCCAGTCAGATCAAGACTGTGTCGAGTAGCAAGATATTTTTTAAAGGAAGTAGATTTCGATATAGGTGGGTACCAATGATTCCATTTCAGTGATGGGGTGGGGATGGGGCAGCCACTTTCATTTTAAAATTTCACTTGTAAATAAGTGGCCTTTGGCTTGTGCCTCTATTTGAGTCTTCTATTTCCGCTCCATTGCTCTCTTATGCTCACAGGGCACCCCTCATGCTTTCTGTAGCTGGGTCAGACCCCTGTGAAGTTAACAAAGACACTTGTGCATACTCCTCCCATTCTTCCTTGAGTATGTGTGCATACACTTGTGTTTCTGTTTTGTTGCAGTGGGAAAGTTGCCAAAGAGGTGGTGGAGGCCAGTTCCAAGATCCAGAGGGAGCCTCCTGAGGTGCACAGGTGAGTGAGTGAGCACTCTGCGTTCCAGGTGGCTTTAAAAGCTGGCGTTTCCAAATCCTCTATAACATTCCCAGTGACATCTGGCGTTAGAGAAGGACATACTCACTTCCTTAGACATCACACTCAGATTTGGCTGGGCCGTGGTATGAGCACAGCTGGGCTCCACTTTATGTGCTCTGTGGAGAGTCATTGATTAGGTCTGGAGTGTCACCTGAACAAGCAGGATGCTGTGCCATCGCCTGGCCAAAAACTGTCATCTCATTCTCTTAGGAGTTCTCTGTTCCTGACTGCGTTCATCATATTTGGCTGCTTCCTGTTGGCCTGACTTCAGGCTTACCTTTCATGGGGCCATTACTCTCTATGGCCACACAGAGGAATGAAGGATTTGGTCATTGCTGGCTTAAGAGTACACGCCTCCATTAAGGTGACAATATACAGTAATTCTTAAGAATCACATCTTCTCTTGCCATGTTGGACTTTACAACAATTCACACAAATCGTTGCCCATTCTAAACCTCAAATATGCTGCATATATGAAGTTGAACATTCTCATCATGATGCCTCCCACTTTTTAAGGAAAGATCACCATGAGCTAAATTATTTAGGAAGTCACACACACATTGGTTTGCACCTTCCATTTCTTCCTTATCTTTGAAACCCAGAGGTAGTTTTTTAATGCTTGGATTTGTCCAGTTTTCTCCATTTTCAGGGTGACTAAGTGGGCTGGGTGCCTCTCCACCCTGTCCCTTGGGGTTGTTGGGCAGGAGGATGCTCTGATCCCACAGAAGTGTGGCTGAGCCAGCCTGGAGAAGCATCCAGATGGCACTTCTCTCCCACACTGAGGAGCAGAAGTGCAGTTGGCACAATACCTCATGTAGATGTGTACAGAAGAAAATCATTCCTGCTTTGGGGTGACCTAGTGAGGAGCTGTAACATAAAAGTCTGCAAAACCAGTTTATTGCACTTTAAGAAGCAGAAGATTACAGGATGAGAGAGGCTGGAGCACCTTGGCTGCAGGCACGTTGGTGCAATTCCTGAAAGTCTTACAGCCTGTCCACCAATGAGAAAAGTCTCATGGTTCCCTCCTCTTTCCCAAATTGTAGTTATTCAATGCAACAGAAATGAAGAGGAAATGATAAAGCATATCATTTCATCCCTTTCAGAATCTTTGAACTGGAAATGACCTCAGGGATTGCCTAGTTTGATGGTTCTGTTCTGTAGACAAAGAAACTTGAGTCTCAGACAAGTTAAGTCATTTATCCAAGGTCCTGACTTTTTTGATGGCAGACCTAAGCCTAGAACTCCAGTGTCCTGCTGCTGTATTCTCAGCTTTTTTCTCTGTAGCACCTTGAGAGCACCTGGCATTTTCTTAGAAGCTGGTAGTGGAGGCAGAACTACCCCAAGTGAGTCAGCATGGATTTTATTCTTCCAGGTTGAAGGTCAAATGTTTGATCTTAAATACTTGATGTTGAGGGAGTTCTCCTGATATCACAAACACAAAGCAGGAAACTTTCAGAGAAACATATTCCAAAAAATAAGGCTTTTTGAGTCTCATAGTTACCATCTATGGATGGTTAATGAGGTCAATAAAGAATTTTTTAAAATACTTGTAAATTGAGGTTTGAATAATTTATGGAAACCAAGGCTTTTTAGCCCTGGGTTCCTCAAATTGTAACTTGCACAGGGATCACCTTGGAATTCTGTGAAAATCAGATTCTGATTCGAGAAGCCTGGACTAATGCTTCAGAGTCTGTAATTCTAACATGTTCTCAGATGATGGCCATGTGGCTGGTCCATGGGCCACACTTTGAGCAGCTAGGCTCTTGGTAACAGGTGGAAGGGTGAAGGGAGAAGCCTTGCTGGAATGAAACACTTTTCTTGGAGTGGACTGAACCCCAGAGTGGGAGGAAAGTGGACACATACTGAGGCATCCATCCACCAAATCGTAGTTTCCCTTTTCTGCAATCTTCTAAAATCTCCCAAGACATTACTGAAAACAAGGATTTAGGGGCTTGACACCTGCTTTGCATGCTCTTTCTCTTCTACCTCCCCCCGGATATAGGAAAGACTGTTGAGTTCACATCCTTAGGATGCCTCTGTGGTTCTTTGCAGCATCTCTCAAATCTCTGACAACACCAGGAAGAATTTGATTAATGTAATGCTGCAAAGCAACCACTGGGAGAAAAGGACCGTGTCTATCTTGATCATCTCCATGTCCCCTAGCACCTAACACAGTGCTTGGCACATAGTGGAGGTCAATATATACCTGTTGAATGAATGCATGAACTAGGAGTACTGGAGGACAGCAGCACCTCTCATTTTATTTGATGTGAGATCTGTCCAAGGTGCTGCCCCTGGGACCTCAACCTCCCCAGAGACAGCATTGTGGTCAGAGCCATAGTGATGTGTGAAACCTTCATGCAGGCAAGTCCTCCTTCTGTACTAGTAGCTGGTTGTGTGGTAAGAAATTGTTCCTCTTGGACAACTGTTTTATTTTCAAATCATTTTGGCTTCTTTGAAGTTGCTGGTCAAAAGTGAGAATGTAGTAATAAGCTCTCCTCTTGTGGTGGGCATTCAGAGATGATCATGAGTCTAAAATGGTGATGATAAGGCTTTAATGGGTGAATTTTCTTCACATTCTGAGATTCTACTCTTCAAATAATGGCAAGTTCACAGACACCTACATCTGCTGAGATGTGTGTGTGTTTATGTGGAGAAACAAGCAGACTGAGAACACTTTCTCAGAATTTTTCGTTTTCTTCAAAAAGAGGAGCAAAAGCTAACTCTGATGGTATCTTGCTGGTCATGATTAATGACAAGATCCCCAAGCCAAACTCTCCTGAACTGGCCACTGGGTGACAATCATCTGCCCATTCCAGGGGCCCAGTGAGGCAGATAGCTGTCACTTGGTGAGCCCAGGGATGGTTGTGTGAGCCACCTGGGCATAGCAGCCACCATCAGGAAACATTCCAAGGCAGCATTTGTTCTTGACACAAGCATCTGTGTAGAGGTCACGAGTGGGTTCCGATCTTAGCTGTGTTGCTTGCCAGCTGTATGGTCTTGGGTAAATCACTTCTCAGATCATGGGCTTACTCATCTATAAAATGAGATTTACAACATCACTTTGCCCAACTTCTAGGCTTTGTTATGAGTATTAAAATACAGTGCTTTAAAAATTATAAAGTGCCATACAAATATGAGGTGGTGACAATATTATTGCCATCTCTCATCCAGAAATGAAAACTGGAATATAACAGATACATTGACGTTAAAATCCCCCAGATAGAGTTTTTTTTTTTTTTGAGACGGAGTTTCGCTTTTGTTACCCAGGCTGGAGTACAATGGTGTGATCTTGGCTCACCACAACCTCCACCTCCTGGGTTCAAGCAGTTCTCCTGCCTCAGCCTCCCGAGTAGCTGGGATTACAGGATGGTCTCGATCTCTTGACCTTGTGATCCACCCACCTCAGCCTCCCAAAGCGCTGGGATTATAGGCGTGAGCCACCACGCCCGGCCCCAGATAGAGTTTATAGAGGCTGGTACTACTTGTTTTTATTCCAAGGAGAGATGTAGGAAGTCCTGGAGTCTCAGTTTAGTCACTGTTTTATGCTACCATTTTTGAGTCCTGAGTGTCCCCTTATAAGCATCTTTTTGTTGAGTTACATAATGTCAGTTTCCTTACCTGTAAATATGGTATTTTTCTTGCCTATCTTATAAGCACAATGAGCAAAACAAATGGGGTAAAGTATATCCAAACCACATTTGCCAATATTAGAATATAATTGTGGTTCCCAAAGGAAACTTTTCTGCTTCAACAGAGTTCCTAATAGCAGGTTCATTTGGAGACCATTCTGTCCTGGGAGTACATGCATGAGTGGGCTGCAAAGTGGGCCAGACATTTTTGCTGCATCATCTGATAGATGGGTTCTGAGACTGGAGAAACATGGCATGTATCCTAGCCTGAGCTGGGGAGACCCCAGGTGTAAACACAGTTACCTCAGGACATCACATGGAAACGAAGAGTGGAAGCTGTCTGTTACATCTGCATGTATTTTAAAAAGTGCCGGACATGGCCGGGCGCGGTGGCTCATACCTATAATCCCAGCACTTTGGGAGGCCGAGGCGGGTGGATCACAAGGTCAAGAGATCGAGGCCATCCTGGTCAACATGGTGAAACCCCCTCTGTACTGAAAATACAAAAATTAGCTGGGCATGGTGACACGTGCCTTTAATCCCAGCTACTTGGGAGGCTGAGGCAGGAGAATTGCTTGAACCCAGGAGGCGGAGGTTGCGGTGATCTGAGATCGCACCATTGCACTCCAGCCTGGGTAACAAGAGTGAAACTCCATCTCAAAAACAAAAAAAAAAAAAAGTGCCTGACATAATGGGACCTCATGTAGCCAGAAACAGGAGGATAGTAGGGGCAGCAAGCAGAGTCTCCTTTGGGACATTGCAGGCTAAATCACACAGAAAGGCAGTGTGGGGCACAGCAAAAGCTTTGGGCCAGGAATCAGATTATCTGGCTTTGAGTCCTAAATCTGCCCATATAAGCCTCATTAGTCATGTTACGTAAGCTCCCCAAGTCTCAGTTTTTCATCTGCAAATATGATATTTACCTTGCCTATCTTAGAGCAAGACACACTGAGAAAAACAAAATGAGGTAATGCATATACAAACCACTTTGCAAGTGAAAAGTAGAGGGCCATTCAAATTCTGATATTATATTTGTCATTAGTTCAATAATGCTGGCGGGCTCTTGCTTTAAATGAAAGAAGCCAGGATCAGTTGGCACCTTTAAAAATGTTTAAGGAGAGAATTAGGTAAGAAGGTATAATTTTTAGTTTAAAGGAGTTGGTAGATTTATTAGTCCAGTTGGGAAGCCATAACAAAATACTGTAGATTGGGTGGCTTATAGACAACAGAAATTTATTTCTCACACTTATAGAGGGTGGGAAGTCCAAGAGCAAGACACTAGTGGATTCAATATCTGGCAGGGGCCTGGTTTCTCATAGACGGTGCCTTGTTGCTGTGTCTGCACATGGCAGAAGGGGGAACAAGCTCTCTCAGACTCCTTTTATAAGGATACTAATTCTATTCATGTGATCGTGACCTAATCACCTCCTGAAGGCCCCACCTCTTAATACCATCACACTGGAGATTAGGTTTCAACAAGTGAATTTTAAGGGGATACAGAAACTCAGGCCATCACATAGGGAAGGGTGGGAGACTTGGCATGTTGTTTTCTAATTTTGTTGACTCTTTCCCCCATGCTGTCAAAGGGTCTGACATTGGGCTTGGAGCCCTGAATTCTTTGCACTCCAGGGAAATTCCTAGTTGTATCCACGTTTGGGTTTAACTGAGTCTTATACTTATCAGGGAAGAAATGTTCTTCTCTGAGTCATATTATTGGAGAGTCTCAGAGTTGTAATCCACTGCAGGAGTCATCTGGTCTAATACGAGGCACGCCCTATATGCCCCTGTCCCTGGCCATGGCTCTCTGCTACGACAGAGCAGCAGGAGTCTGTGAATGTAGGGGCTGAGCTGGCATCCTTCTGGCCATCCAGTGCCAAGGCAGGCTCACTCCTGGGTATCAGCCTGGTGAGCCCAGCCTGTCTTAAAGCTATGCAGTTGTCTGGACATTGCTAGTTGTGGGTGGGGCAGCAAGATGGCTTGGTAACTCCAGCTGAAGAATGTTGGAAGGAGGGCTTATGGGGAGCAAAATAAGCTCATAAAGGCCCACCAAGGGCTCATCATTGGGGCATAAGCAGTGATTCCTTGGGATAGGAACAGTAGCCGGCTTAGCTGGCATGGACAGTCAGAGGTGGAGCAGATCAATTCAGAATTGCTTGGGAAAGAATGGATGGATGGGCTTTTCAGAGGTCAGAAAGCTAACAGGAATGACAGTATGTTGTGCTTCGCAGAGCTGGAATCATAGTCATGAGTCATGGCCAGAAGAAATCCCAGGAGAGCTAGAAAACTGAGAACTCTTCACAATAAAAGAGGAAACTACTCATGGGAAATTTTAATCCCTCCCTCCTTCTCTCCCTCCCCTCCTTCCTTCTGTAAAGATTTCTCTATTTATGATTCTTTCCCTGTAAAAAGCACTGTGTTCACCAGAATATGCTGCAGGCATTGCTTCTCTTGGAAGGTCATCCCTGGCTTTGTCCTCACTCACATAGGATTAGGTCCCCTCCTTTGTGTTCCCATGGGACCCAGGCAATCAGTCACCTTCATGAGAGACATGGTGTTCCAGCTGTGACTATAGCATGTTAAGGAGCTATGAGGCCAGGTATGGTATCTCATGCCTGTAATCCCAGCACTTTGGGAGGCTGAGGTGGGAAGATCACCTTAGGTCAGGAGTTCGAGACCAGCCTGACCAACATGGTGAAACTCTGTCTTTACTAAAAATACAAAAATTAGCTGTGCGCAGTGGCGAGTACCTGTAATCCTAGCTACTCAGGAGGCTGAGGCAGGAGAATCGCTTGAACCCAGGAGGCGAAGATTGTAGTAATGATCAAGACCAGCACTTAAAATGAGGTAGAATTTTTAAAAAATAGTGCATTCTACATAGATATGTAACTATTATTACATAGAACATTAATTTCAGTTGTGCTTCTTCCTGTGTGTTTGGGTACAGGGTGAGTATATAAAATGTATTTCTTAATGTAGGTGTCAGACCACAAAGTTTGAAAATCATGGTTCTGACAGTGAATTACTTACAGTGAGGACTACAGTTCCCTAGAACTAAGCAGAATATCCAATATGTATATAGCGGCTGCAGAGTAAATGGCTATAAAATGAAATAATGAAGAAAAGGACTGCATGCTAAGCAAGTCTTCATAAATTTCCTTTCTAGCCAGTGCCAGCCATGGGAGCTTTTCATTCAAGATGCTAGCAGGCATCTTGATCCCCTCCTCTTGCCATGGAAACACTCAGCTGGAAGGTAGTCCTGTCAGCCCACCTAGGGAACACTGTGATCAGGCTGAAATGGCAACATATGTCAAGCCAGGACTGCATTCAGTTTACTTCAGTTTCAAACCTGAACACATTTTCATAAGGTGGCAAGTGAGATGCACAGGTATGGCTAGCTCAGTCTCTGTCCTTAAGGTGTTTATCAAGGTGGGGATGATCAGTACACCAATAACTAGAGAGAGACCGAGGTGAAAAATACAGTGAGTTATGCAAGAAGAGAAAGTGAGAGAGAGAGAGAGAGACTGAGAGTGTGTGTGTTGGGAGGAGCAAATCCTGGAAGGCTTCCAGGGGAAGGAAACACTTGACTTCTTTTCAAAGTATGCACTGGTTTTGGTTTTGACAGGAAGTATGGGGAGTAGGGAAGGGTGCTCAAACCTGCAGGCACACTAGGGCAAGCATCTAGTATCTCTGCTTGTAGGTAGTGCAAGCAGGTGCCCCAGTGCCAACCAATAGGCTTAATGAGATACCTGCACAGTTTCCTTGCCATCTGCTGCTGGCCTCAGCCACCAACACACCTTGCATGCTCCTTGCCAAAGGAGAAAACAGAGCCACAGCCAGTTAGTGAGTAGGGTGTAACTTTGAGAATATTAAACACTAATATTAAACACTGGACATCCAACAACACAAAGATAGGTTATAGCTGTATCTGTCTGGCAGGGGTTTTTGGTTTTGTTTGTTTGTGGTTATTACATTTCCCTGAGCCATGCCCTTCATTCACCTTTCTGCATATCTAGTTTGGTGATAGCTAGTTCCCATGTCTTTTTGTTTCATCTTTCTCTTTTTTTAAAAAAAAATGCCCAGACTGTCATCTGGCATGCTCAGGACTGGTGACATATGAGGAACTGTATTTTCTTTTATTGGATTGCAGTAGAACATAGGGACACTTGGTCAAGCCAGAAAGGGCCATTTGTCTTGAAAGTTATATCATCTTCACTACTCGCTCAATCCACTCCGTGTCTAGAGGTAGCTCCCTCTAGACGCAGAGCAGTAGTCTGGACAGCCCTCTGAGATGGAGAGGCCAGTGTTTGTGATGGAAACCAACCTCGTCTGGCTTATTTCTGTTTTCAGAGCCAACATTTCTCAGAGCCGCAGTTCACACTCCTTGAACAAACAGCTCATTATTAATATGGAGCCCCTGCAGCCCCTGCTTCCTTCCCCCAGCGAGCAAGAAGAGGAACTTCCTCTGGGTGAGGGTAAGTCAGTCTCTTCATCCCAAAGGCTGGTGCTGTAGGCCTTCTATGGAAAGAACAAGGGAGGCACCAGTTCTGCATATAATGGGTAATGGATTAGTGTATGAAGTGGAGTGAGCTGTAAACTGTTTTTAGTAAATACGTTTTTTGCAGCTGGAAGGCTGTGTTATACTGGGAACTCTATTGGTTTCTCCTGGTATAAAGAGTTCACTGGTATAAAGTATTTCTAAAATTAAATATGAAAGGACTAATGTTGTTAGACCTACACCGGTCCAGTACAGTAACCATTAGCCATGTGTGGCTGTATTAAACTACATTTAAATTCATTATAATTAAAAATCCATTTCCTCGATCACACTGGCCAGATTCGCAATGCCCAGTAGCTCCATGTGCCTGGTGGCTGCCATATTGGGCACTGAGACTGAGATCATTTTCTTTGTCACCAAAAGCTCTATTGGATGGTGATGTTTGCCGCTGTAATCACAATTAAATTAGTGGCTGTAAAGAATTCTCCACAAGTATCTTTACACTGATCATCCCATTTATGCCCCCAACCTTCTTGTTCTTGTTCCTTCATTTACATGTTTTGAAACAAGCTAAAAAAAAAGTGGCATGTCCACTGCAGCCCCCAAATGTGTTATACTTTTAAAGATAATATATGTGTGTCTAGGCATCCTGTTTGTTTTTAAGGACTCTTCTGACTTCAGGGAAGAATCTCGCCACACTGCTTGCTGCAGACGCCTTCAGGCATCTCACATTCTTATTAATTTCAAAAATTTGTTTAAATTAAATTAATTTAATTAATTAAATCAAAAACAAATGCACACAAAATAGTTATTAGAACCTTTGAATATGAACATGCTTTTTCTTAACTTCATGTGATTTTGGTGATGAAAATCTGAATACTAGGCAGTTTCAGGAGGGCAGATCACTCTGCCCCCAAAAGATCACCTTCACCTCCAGCTCATGGCAAGAATTTCTTTCATGGATGAAAACTTTCTAGTCTATCATAATGGTATGGCTAGGAATGCAGATAACCTTGAGATAGGTAGTAGCAACCAATTTGCAGTGACATGTAAAAAATTCTAGCAAATCTTTTCTGAAAGCCAGCTTTAATGGTTAGAAGAAGAATTTGGCAACTGGATGCCAAAAATTCCATGGTTGGAGGGAAAGTGCAAAATATGAAAGATGGTATCTTAGAAGACACTAGTTGCCTTCAACTGGATTACAAGAGATGATGATAATGAGAACACACTTGTTATAAATGGCTTTTGCTGTCTATCTTAACAATGAACTCTGAAAGCTCCAGGCCAAATTAATTTTCTTGGCCCAAGGGCCTCTGGGTCCATGTTGCTTGTCTGTGTTTTTCAGCAGATTATCTGTTTTTGTGTGTTTTGCAAATGAAAGCAATTTTCATTTCTGGTCACTAATGGTTTTCTAAGTTTCCTCCTAAATGCTTGGAATATTGCTTTGAGTGAAAATCACTTTTTCTGAAGGTCATAATTATCCCCAGTTTGAATGAAGGAGGGTGTGGCTAATAGAGAAGAAAAGAGAAGGGGCAGCTCATAACTGGAATTGTGACCGTACCTTGTCTGCAAAGATGGAAGCCTAGATGGGAATTCAATTTGGAGACCCAGACAAGTTGAATGGTTATAATGGAAAATATAAAAGCCTAGGCCCTGCTGCCTTAGGATGCCCAAGATGTGAAAGGGAACCTGGTTAAACTTTCCTCTGGACTCTGCATCCCATTATCTGTTAGGAACATCTGTTTTGCTCCATTTTCTTATAATGAGGTTCTACTGGTAAATACTAGGTGTGTTTTTAACATAGCAACTGTATGGACAATAGACAAACCATTATAATTAACTGCAAAAAAAATTTTAAAGTCTCTCATGACAGGAAAGGAATGCATAAGTTACCTTTTCAGTTTTCCCAGTTGTTTTAAAGAACCATCTTAAATTCCTTCACCAGCTGTAAAGCCAAACTGATAGACGAGTCTCCTAAAAAGTCCACAGTAGCTCTATGAATGTCAAATCAAATTATTTTCTCCAGGAGATTTGTCCCCTTTAGAATATCTTTGTGGGTTTTAAAGTTCAGGCAATTCATAACAACTTTCAGGATACAGATTCAATTAAAAAGCAACAGAAGTAGAAACAACACTATTGTTAATTTTTCAAAAAATGCAATGATTCTCTCAACTTAGAGTAAGAGCAAAATTATCTTAGGTACTACAAAATTCAAAGTGCGATTTCCACCACAGATGTAGCTCTGTGTTCTGCATACCATTGTAACTCGGTTACTAGTTAAATTCTTCCTCACAGCTCTTATCTTTGAGTGTCAGGCAATGGGATTCAGGCATTCCATGAGATAGATACCTATTTTATAGATTCACACTTCTCAGATTTTTAAAAAGAAGAGAGACAGATTACAGTTCTAAACAAAGATGTTTCCGCCTTTGTGAAAGGGCCCTATTTCTGGGCTTTTGAGCACATGCAGTATGAAGAATTTTGTTTCATCTCTATATTTTCATATTTCATTTCTTTTTATTTCTGAGCTAGAGCCAAATGTAAAGAGGCTAGGAATTCATTCATTCCTTAATGCAACAATTGTGACAAATACAAGTTGTACACCCTGTAGACCACACTTGCCATGTCCAAGTTGCTGTGGACTATAAAGATGAAGACATGAAGATGCTCTTTTCTGGAGACTCACAGCCCACTGTGAGTCTGACACAGCAGTGGGATCGCAGAGGCAATGACAAAGTTCTGCCCCTGCTGATTGAATCGTATGCTCAATTTTCTGTGTGCCCCACTGGATATCAGTGCCTTAACTTGCCTTGAGGACATTCGTTCCTTGAGGGCATTTGTTTCATTGGAGTGTCTGACATAAAATCAGTGGGCAAAGGAATAAATGGAAGAGATGGATGGGAAGAGGTGGTAATGAGTTGTCTGTTCCGTCTGCATGGGGTGTGAGTGTGGTTTCAGGGAAGAGGTTCTGGAGGATGCTGAAGGTGAGGCAGAAGGTTAGGAGAGGAACAAATTATGGGCTTCCTAAGACTTGCAGGAGAATTGAGACTTTAACCTGAGAGCAACTGGGAGGGATTGAGGGATTTCAGGTATGGGAATGATGTCAATGGCATGGGAATTGTCTTTTGCATCACTGGTGATGTGTAGAGAATGGATTGGATGCAGACATGGCTGGAGCAGAGCTTTTCAACCTCAGAACTACTGACCTCTCAAGCTAGACAGTTCTTTTTGGTGGATTCCTGTGCATTGTAGGATGTTTAGTAGCTTCCTTGGCTTCTACCCAGTAGATGCCAGAAGGACTCCACCAATATTGACAACCAACAATGTCTCCAGATATTGCCAAGTTTCCTTTTGGGGAGCACAAGAGTTCTCTGGTTAGAAACGACTGGGTTGGAGGCTACAGAGGAACCACTGGAGGAGCCGAGAGAATAGATATGCAAGGGCTGAAGCAGGCAGAGAGAATGCAACTAAGGAGGAGGCTGTGGATTTAAGGCATAGTCAGAGGCAGAGTTGTGGAGACAGGGTCGCTGGTTATATGGTTAGGAACATAGTGTGTGGACTCCTACCAACCAGGTCCTGTCCTTGTCTCAGGGATGTTGAGTTGAAAACGCTTCAACCTCTTTTTGTTAAAGATGGGACTGCAGAGACCCAGGAAGATTTCAGTGGTATGTCAGCATTCACACAGGGAGTCCATGGCCAAGCATGATTTTGTTGAATTGCTGAAGCCATCAAGAGAGTTACATACTACTGTTGCTTCTCAGAGCTTCAAACACAGAGTGGTGGAGACTTGACACCACCACTTACCTTTCTTATCATTGTTCCCATCTGGATATGCTGGTTCAGATTCTTGTCTGGGGTTTTCAAATCACATAATTTGGACTAGATTTATAAACTGGTCAAGATTAACAGCTTGAGCCTTGTTAAAAGTGTTGTCTAATGGCCAGGTGCAGTGGCTCACACGTATAATTTCAGCACTTTGGGAGGCTGAGGCAGGCGGATGACCTAAGGTCAGGACTTCGAGATCAGCCTAACCAACATGGTGAAACCTTGTCTTTACAAAAATACAAAAATTAGCTGGGTGTGGTTGTGCATGCCTGTAATTTCAGCTACTTGGGAGGCTGAGGCAGGGGAATTGCTTGACGCAGGAGGTAGAGGTTGCAGTGAACCAAGATAGTGTCATTGCACTCCAGTCTGGGCAACAAGAGTGAAACTCCGTCTCAAAAAAAGTGTTGTCCAATTAAAATTTTTAAAAAAATCAGGCTGGGAGAAGAAAGTCTTAACTTATGGAATGTCTCTCTGTGAGGTCATGAGAATGTCCTGGCACCTTGTCTTAGATGGTATGATTGATTGGTGGGGGCATCTCTGCTGCTGCCATGGCTCTCTGGGGTCATGACCACCCATTTGTCAGACAAGCTTTTTCCATTCTTTTTAAGTTTCTCTAAGACAGCTGGGCAGAGTATTATTGCCCAGATTAATGCAGTGGTGTTCTGGGAAATCGTGTGACCCCATTCACCCGTGTGACAGCTGGAGGATTCAGTCGCAAGTTGGCTGTGTCAGGGTGGAGGAAAAAACAAAATCAGTTCCTAGGCGCCACTAGGCAACGGGAACATTTTCAAAGCTCACCCAAAAGTTGCTCGGTTACAGGATCCGAGAGAACTGGTGCTGTGGAAAACTTCAGATGAGAAGGTCAAACCATTTGAAGAGTGCCACTTAGAGCTTATGAGAATTTCAGGAGAAGAAAAAATTGAGAGTGGGAATTGTTCTAGGTGAAAATGACATTTTAAGGAGTCATTAATCTGAATAAATTCACATGTAAAATGGAGGAGGTTCTGTAGATAGCACCGTGCTTATGTGTTTTATTGGTGGAGTATATGTTCTCATTATGGAAGAGTGTTGGATTGTGGTAGAGAATGAGAGTGAAATTAATCATGTGAGACTTGGTAACTGGCAATTACAGACACACACTGAAGATCACTG